TCAGGGCAAAACTGCATGAGAGGGAGGCAGGGTAAATGTCATTGCACTTATCTGAAGCTGAACTCAGGGCTGCTTTCCAGCCAGCAAGCGTGAAGCTAACATTTTACCTCTGCAGTGTGCTGCCATTGCAGCACTGGCTGTTTTTCATGGTTAGCATTGCAGATCTGTGTTCGTGCAGCTTTGTTGCTTTTACACCTTCTTCTCATGAAGGGAAATTTTCAAAACTTACTTCCCATGAGGTACTCAGTTCTAGAAAATAGCCTTCTTTTGAACTTTTGAAGTTGGAACCAGCAAGGACTTTTCTTGTGTAGCAAGGGAAGAGTTTGCAGGTTCCATAAGGACCTTCATCCCCAGACTGTGTGGTGAAGGGAAAGGTGGTATCCCTTGAGGACAGGCATTGGCCAGAGGTCCACTCCTTCCTGTTTCTGATGATAAAAAATTTATATCGTGTATGAAGCTATTGTGAAACGTAAGACCAGATCATGAGAAGAAACCCTTAACTTATTTTTAGCAGTTCAGAGGAACACTAATAAGCATTTTATTAACTTATGTATTCTATGTCTCATCATCTGTGAAAAGCCAGATGAAAGGAAAATGAGTGTCACAGCTCAAGACACTGTGATGCTCTAGTGTAGGTGTCCAGATGCTGATGTGCCCAGACAACTCTGCAACCAGGTATGAAACTTTTGGCCTGTAAAACTGTGATTATGAAAGGAAACATACAGAAACCTGCACTTTAAAATTCTGAGAGAGAACTGTTGTGTTTCCTACGGATTTCAGAACTGATGCCATTAAAAACAAACAAACAAAACTCAATGAAACATGAGCACAGTTTGTAGCTTTCTTGTCCGAGCAGTTAATATTGCAGAATCTAGAAATGCTTTATACTTCCAAATATTAGACTATACTGCTTCAGTTCTTATTCAAAGGTCTATCTTTAGGCATACAGTTTGGAGATGTGTGGAGGTACTAAAGCAATGGGAATATATCCTTCTGTGGGAAGGACAAAGTAACTATCGTCAGGGCATTCATTGATCAAAACTGGTGTAGTTTTGCAGTAAAGATACGTCATCTTCAAGACATATCTGAAAATAAAGGTAGCTACATAACTGAATATGAAAACTTCCAGTAATTATACTATTTGTTTCCTTGGTAGTTACGTTTTAATACTCCTACCATAAAATAACTCCATTATGAAATAATAGAATTTAGAAGAGAGTGAGATATTGAAACAGTGCCCATTACTTCATCTTCTTTTCATCAAGGTCTCCTGTCCTGATAAAATATTGAACAGTTTGTGAGCACAGCTTTTTAGCTTTTGTGTGCTGCTGTGAATTTGTGACGTGAGTGTAGTTGCTGCCCAAGGACATAGTACTTACTGGAGGGTTAGGTACGAGAATCTTGTTAACCTGCAGTGACTGTATCTGAATGCCTTATAGTTGGCACAAAAAAAAAAAGGAGTAGTATCTTTCAACATCTCAGCAGATTCATTAGATTGTTATTCAGCCTGAACATAATTTTTATAAAATATACTATTACATACTTATCTATATTTATATTTGTTTTTCAATATGCAAAATAGTACTTTGATGAATCATTACAACTAGCCTTATTACACAAAATAAATTAATAACCTATATCTGCTAAAGCTGTGCTTTTGATTTTTTTTTTTATTCTATTTGCTTTCTTAGAAAATTGCTTAGTTTGATAAAATTGGAGGCTCTTTTCCTGTAATTAGTTTAAAATAGATGTGGAAGGAAATTTTCTTTCAGATATATTCCATTTTGCTTCAAAACTATTTTTTTATGGCCTTCAGTGTAACAAAGGGAAATTACTTTATGTACTTCAGAAGGTTATATTGGGTGTTTTTCCATAAGTTTCAAACTAATATTTTGTGCATTGATGTAAAGGAAACACGTTGCATATTCAACCTTTGGACCCGGTGTCAGAACACAGTTGCTGCATCTGGTTGGCCTCACTTTAATAAACTGTTTTGTAAAACCTGTACAGACATTGGTTGGTAGAGGCAAGCTGTCCTGGCCTGTTCAGTGCTACAGGAAGAATAGCAGATGGAGAAAAGCCCAGCTCCTTCTTAATGAGGTCTTGTCTCACCAAGACAGTTTGAAATAACCATGTCATTTATAATTGTCATTTCTTGTCATGTGATGCTTAACAGTGTGTCTATGGCCAACCGTTCAATACTCTCTCCTTACAATACATTTTAGTCTTCTGTTCAATTTATTTGCTGTTACCAAAATTCATTATTATATTATTGAAGTATATCCATGTTGAAGAATTAAGATAGTAAAATATGGACTGTGCTTTATGCTCATTACAAGTTACGTTCTTCTATATAAGGAGAAATAGTCACCAGGAATGGAAATAGAATTACAGTGCATTATGGTTTAGTGATACAGTATGTTTTTACCTTGGAGCACCAGAGAATTAGTAATTATGTACCTGTCACTTAAAAGGAGGGAAAGAGGCTGTGTCCAGTTTGTGGTGTTATGTGCCATTTCCTCAACGTTTTACATTCTCTTTGGAGGGAAAATCCCTGAAGTGTGAATCTGGCATAACAATACCAGCTCCTTACAGTATGTGGCTCAGACAGATAAAAGTTGAATATTACATTATTCCATGTTTGTATGGAGTGTCAACAGCCATAACATCAACATGTTGGAGGTGCCTGTAAGTATTAGTACTGCAGATTTAAATCTGTAATCCGAAATCAGGACAGGATAACTGCTTTCTACTCCATTCTACAATTTTGATTAAAAAAAAATCTTATTTAAAATGCAGTTACCATTAGAAATGTCTTCATTCTTTGTTTTCCAAAAATGGTTTAGGTAGCAGTCACCCTCAGAGTTCAGAAAGTATGAAAGAGGAACAACAGTGGGTGTTTGTTTTTCCAGTTGTTCTTAGGTAAACAAGGATAATTGATGTATCTTATCACAGGGTGGTTTTTCTCTACCTGACAGGAGTGTTTTTCTTGTTTTTTTTTTCCTTCACAGATGTTGACATTTGTTAATTTCTTCTACTGATTATCTTAAACAGCTCTGTGTCTCTTTTCTTAGTTACACTACACCTTACACAATTAGTTTGAGTGGTGAAAAGAATGATGTTATGTCAGCGGCTTTCCAGACTCTTGCCATTCATAAAGCAGTGGTTTTTGGATGTTAATTTCTGTATAGAGCCAGTGCCTTGGAGTTTGAGTTCCAGGGAGCAGTGTTTTTAAATATTGCAAAATTATATTTTCTTATTGATAAAAAGACCTTTTTGCTAGCTGTTTTTGTGATGGCTGAAGGTTCATAATAAACTTCTTGTATGCTTTCCATTGTCACAGGGTCACATTAATGTTGGGAATAGAGGTTCCAATGGGAGGTCAATAAATAGTAGTATTCACTTATTTTTATTAAGTAAAAATGTATCCAGTCTCACTATGAGATTCAAAATTGCACTAAATGTCAGATTTTTCACAAGTTAACTTTTTGGTTCTGCATCTCTTATTTGGATGTGTTTTTAATATCATTACAAGAAAATATGGATAGGTTTTCTGTTTCATTTTGGAAATAAAAACTAAATTGAAAGATGCAAAATTCTCTCAGAGAAATTCTTACCACCAAAAAATTAATCCCACTCGTCAGTTTGTTACAGTCTAACATTTTCTTTCATTTTGTGTATTCTTTCCTGAAGATCTGGTTGTTTTTAGAGTCCAGAATATATAATCTTCCTTTAGAGGCAATCATGATGGAAAGAGGTTGAAAATAAAATGTTTCCAAATTAGCAGTATAGGTGTGCACCTTAAAATCTGCAGTTATTCTGACAGAATGCCAGCTGTGAAGGCACAAAATTCAGAGGATCTGAAGATCCTTTTCAAAAACTCATCATTACTCAAACACACACTAGGTGGGTATACAACCAGTGGAGTGTTTAAAGCAGATAAAATATAACAGCAGTTGCTGCTGTTTCTGTTCTTTTGGGTTCTTTCCTCAAATAGCCTCAATAGCCACGTTTCCTGGGTTAACAGTATTTTTCTAATTAAATATAATTTCAAAGACAAATGCCCTCTTAATGCCAAAGCTTGCTACAGAAAGGATTCCTTAGAGTAGACAGACAACAGACCAAAGAGAAGAAAAGTTAGCTGCTGCAGCATTCTTTTGGCTGTGTAAACAGCAGAGTGCCTCAACTCCCACTGGCTTTGCAAATGTTAAGGCTATTCAGCACCTGTAAAATTTACTAAGTGTTTCAGACCTAAGCTTGGGAACCACTCAGCAGTGGCAGTATATTACAGACTTGTTACCAGTATGTGGCTTAAAAATGCTGGTTTTGGACTTTGATCCATTGTCATCCCCATGAAAGTGCCAGTCCTACAGATATTTAAAGTAATTTTGTGCATCTCAGAATATGTTCCCAGTCCCTCTTTTCCAGTCTTTCTTCATTTGTGATGATGCGTTAAGGCCCAGTTTTTCAAACACATTCTTTAACTATTTCTTTTTTAGCCTTCATTGAGAATACAATCAGCTTTCTGACTAATAGTTTTGGATCAATGTGCTGTGTTCCACTGTGATGGTATTCTCCAAAATCTACATCCCCTAGAAATCAACAGGAATGTGATTCAAGCTTGCTTCTTGAGCTTAGAACAAGAAAAAGGTCCAGAAAAATAAAGAATATTTTTCTTGGGCTGTAATGTCTGCAGAAGTTTAATGTAGTCTTCAGCAGACATTTTATGGAGTTGAGGGTCTGCAGTTTTCCAGAGAAATTACAGAGGATGCTCACTGCTGGGACCCTTGAACTCAATTGCTTTTGTTCTTTCCTAGACATTTGATCTCTCTTCCACCTATTTTATGTGCCTTGCCCATGACAATTTTGTTTTGTGTTCAGTGTTCTGCTAAGAGTGAGTGAGCTGAGACTCTCCTGGGACATGTCCCCTAAGTTTAGGTTTCTTTCCTATAAACAGTTGCAGTTGTTTTTAATAACTGTGAGTTTCTTTTTCATACTAGGTGATGCAGATGTACCTCCCATTCTGTGGGATTGCCATATCCAATGCCCAACTATTTGCAGCTTCAAGGAAGGAATATGACAGAAGCAGGGTAAGTAAAAAACATATAGTGGACCAATATCAAACTTTGGTCTTTTGTTCCTTCAGGGTCCAGCTATGTGTACGTGTTTGCTAAGCAGACAGTTTTAACTACATTTCATTTCAAAAACTGTGTTTTCAACAGATCTCTGTCTTGATTGAAGCAGCAAGCAGAGAGCATGGGAGGGAAATACACTCGTGGAGATGGCTGTTGTTTCCTGATGTCAGTTCCATGTTTTGTAGTGCTGAAACAATTGCATTTGTGGCATAGACAGTGCAGGAGAGACTGTTGCTTTGGCAGAGATTCAAGCTCTCATAAAATTCTAGTAATATCAAGCCTTTTCCTTCCTGAATTTTTAATATTCAATTCATGTGCAAATAATGTGGATATATCTTTCTAAAAGTAAACCGGAAAGAAACCCCTATATATGAAGGGTTTTGACAGCATGTGTCTGCAAAGATGCATTACTCATGATTGCTAGTGCCATGCATGAGTTGGGACAGGAGGTTCTGAAGTGAAAATAATGCTGAGCTCTCATGTCATTTACTTGTCAGAGAGGTTTTTTAATTTTTTTCAAGAAATAAAATGGTAATTTCGAGGTGGTGGTTTTTTTTTTAAATCGCCCTTCCTGCAATGATGACAGGAAGTTATACTTTTGTTAGCATGGATCACAGCTCCAAAGCTTCGGCAAAAATAGCCCTGATAGTGTTGAACCTATTCTTCCTTCACAAAATAGGGGAAAAACAGTGGTCTGGGCCTGTATATTGAGCTCTGACATTTTTATATTCATGATTTTGGTGCTTTCCATATGTGAAAACTAGTGCTTTGCACTACTTTGAAAACTAACAATAGCCCTTTCTAATGGCTCTTATATGAGGAATCTGAGCTTGTCTTTGGTTCAGATCTGACAACAGACCATTATATTTTGGGGTGGAGATGCGGAGGAGACTTGGGGAATAAAAAAGATTGTCTGCCGGAGTTTTTTTCTTTGTTTGATGTTCAAATAAAATAATTGTTTGACTACACAGAGGCTTAAAATTTGCTGCAGATTCCCAGACTGCAGGGAACTACACAGAATTTTGAGAAATCAATGTTTAATCTTCTGAGAGAGGCATTCAGCAGAAAAGCGTTAGAGACATCCTCATTCTTTATTAGAAAAGGGTAAATTCTGGTGGTTGGATGTATCAGGAAGCTGGGTTAGAGATACAGATTCTTTGTTTCTTGTTGCTGCTCAGCCATGCAAAGCATAACAAATGTCATTGCCATTTGACAGCTACATGGTGACCTGTACATGATTGCATTCTAGCCTATTGGTGGTCTTTAGCTTTGCCTAGTCCATGGCTAAAGTTAGTTGGCAAGTACTAAGTGGTGGACAAGTCCATACTTTGCCTTTCCCATCACACTGGCCCTCAACGGTGGCAACTTCCAGTGAGTGTGACCACAATTTTGCTGATGACCACCTCGTTAGAAGAGCTAAGACCACTCCAGTTTATACGCTTACCTGTATCGATGTTCTTTAGTGTCCATGCCCTAAATGAAAATAAAGGAAAAAGCACACTTCTTTTGACCCATGGTAAGAAAGGACAGGGCTTATTTTAAAACACTATATTTTACAGACATGTTAGTGGTAAAGGCTGGATCAGAGTGCTGTTAGAATATGAAGTATTGATGTGGGTTTTTTTCCTTTCCAGCTTTGAACATGAAAATTGGGTAATAAAAGAATAAAATGGAGTTTAAATGCCCTAGCAAATTTGATATAGAAAATCAAGTAACTCAATCCATACTTCATTGCATTACAACCTTTTTTTCATTTTTGGACCAAAGTGAAATAGTTTGAAAGATTGCCACTGTTTGCTAAGAGTTGGATTGCATCTAGTTATGAACTGAGAAATACTTCTTTCTTTCTTCAGTTACCCCCACGCCAATACTGTTGCCATAACCGTTAAGAACATTTTTGAATGAAGATTTCAATGGATCATTCATATTAAAATCAGTCCCAGGAATAACGTCCACTTTGCAATGCTCCATGTACTTATTAATTTGTACAGCCAATATAAGAGTTTTCTGTCCCTGTATGCAGGCATTACTGGAAGTAGTGAATGATCTCTTTGAGGAACAGACTGACTTGGAGAAAATTGTCAAGAAAATTATGCATCGGGCCCAGACTCTGCTGAAGTGTGAACGGTGCTCAGTATTACTTCTGGAAGATATCGAATCACCTGTAAGTGTAGCTGCACATTCTGTAGAAAGACTAATATTTGAGTGGTGGAGCACTTCCTTTTATTGTAGTGGAGCTGTTGCCTGTCATATGTAAGTACTGGACAGCAAGAATTCTTCCAGCATGTTGTTCCTGAATGTGAGTTAGGTACAGGTCAAATCTTTATCAATACCACTGTTATGTTTTAATCCCAGTGGGCAGCTAAGTCCCACACAGCCCAGTAGGATGGGGAAGGGAATTAGAAGGCTAGAAGGGTGAAAGCTTGTGGGTTGAGGTACGGACAGTTCAGTGACGGTCCCACTGGGAAAGAAGGGTTCGCCACTCAGGGAGTTTGGTGCAAAATGGCCTCTTTATTAACACAGCTCCTGCCTTATATAAGGCAGGAGCAGAACTTGCCAGAAAAGTGGTGTAACCGGGAAGGAGCAAGGGCGGAACATGCTAAAAAAACCAAATAGGGAACGGATGGCCAGATAAGGAAAATAGTGCAATGCAGCAATAACTGACCAATAAGATAACAGGACATAAGAACATATGGGATAAAGGGGATTTTTAGGGAAAATAGGGTACAATAAGTGGGGGAAAATACAATAAACCATGAACACAAATTCATAACCCAAAGTGCAATGGTTTAATTAGTTTAAATCATCATAAAGGGGTTTTGTTTTCACGTGGTCTCCTCTTCTTCAAAATTCCTCCTCCAGTCCTCGTAGTTTTCATCGTTCCCACCTCCAACGGTTCAGTAGGTAAAGCAAGAGCTATATACACAAGCAAAGCAAAATAAAGAATTCATAGCATCCTTCCAGTCAGCAAGCAGGTGATGTGTCATTTCCAGGAAAGCAGGGCTTCATCATGTGCAGTGGAAAATTCCCTCAGATTTATTGCTGAGCATGACATTGTATGGTATCACAGCACGGGATACCCCTTTAGTTAGCTGGAATCAGCCCAATCTGTTGTGCACCCATCAAGGTATTCCCTGGGGTGGCAGAATGAGAAACAGAGAAGGCCTTGACACTATGTAAGTACTGTTGAACAGTAAAACATCCCTGTGTTCTAAATGCTGTTTTCATCACATAACTAAAATGTATCATCACTACAGGCTACTACGAAGAAAATCAGTGCCGCTTGAGCCAAAACCAGTGTAGGTACTTTTTCAGATGGAAACTGAAAGATACCATTTGTGATTCCTTATGGCCACTTGGAAGCATTTAATGGATGTCTGTAAGCTGCTGATGGATCAAACTATCACTGGTGTGTGATCCAGCTGATATTCTGTGATTCTCAGTAGTCTGTGTGATGGAATTAGTGCTTACTACAGAGCAGCTATGACTTCTTAGCTTAGAACCAAGCTGCTCTTGTGGTCTGCTTAAAAAGGAAAAATTACCTAATTTGTTATCAAATATTTATTTGCTCAGTTCCTTTCTTTTATGATATAGCCACAAGAAGGAAAGAAAAATCCTGTCTATAGCTTCATTTACATTTATAACCTTGCTAACACTTTCAGGCCATTGACTTATCAAATGGGTGGTGCTTGCAAGCAGTTTCAGAACCAGAAACAGTTGCATCATCAACCAAATCTTTAATGCTCATTTTTACAACTAACCTTTTCTGCATAACATCCAGTAAGTAATTATCAGGTATCTTTGTTGATATTGCTATGGTGTTCATAATTTTGCATCTGTTGTTGAAGTGTTGAAGACTGAAATAAGTAGTTTCTATTCTAGTATGTAAACATGTTGTATCTTCAGTCAGACTACTGGCCACTCAGAAATCACAGCTAAAAATAAACTCATCAAGACTTTGTTAACTGAGATCCTGTGTATTCAGCAACTCAGCAGGGTTTACAGCAGTCTAATAAGTGTCTTCACAGTAATCAGCTTCTGAACTTGTCTCATTAATATCATTTTGTGGAATCCAATTCTTTAGTGTGGAAGAACAGCAAGACAGTGAGGGCTGAACCTGCAACACAGGGAGTTTTCTCAGCTACTTTTCGTGGCCACTAGGATTTTTTCCTTCCTGGAAATTTTCTGCTCACTTTAGGTTGGCAGGGGTCTGTTTGGGAATAGCCCCTGTTTGTTTGCCCCTTTTAACAAGTTTCTTTACTACTTTGCAAAATAAATAATGAGAACCAGTTTCAGTTCCTAAATAATGAAAATGCTGTTAAAAGATAAGTCCTCTTGTAACACAAAATCCATTGGAAAAGACACATTTGTATACAAATGCTGAGATAGTCATGTTCTAGTGATAGGAATAAGCTTTTACATTGAGCAGATGAAATGAAAACACAAATTTTAGCATTACTGAAGTAGGTTTGGTTTTTTGCAATTGCTCTGTCCACTTGACCAGTGAATAATTATTTCATTGCAGAGCTCTGTTAAGTTGAACAGATAGATGTTTTTGCAGGGGCTTTCACTCAGACTTTGCGATACTGATATTTATAGGGTACGAAAGCCTCTTTAAAAATGCCTAACTTTTTTATGAGTATTGTTATTAGTAGTAAAATAAGTGGCTACCTTCATATTGGTAGCTCCCTCCAGTGTTTTCAAACTATTCAGCACAAACTGTCCTCCTTTCTACTGATTTGAGAAGTAGTTGAAGGATAAAAACATTGTTCATAATATAATTTTTTTTCTACCCAAGTATTATTGGATTCACTGACTCTGCAGTTGATTATTTGTTGCTAGGCTGTGACAAGTCTAAATGATTATCAGAGACAGACTCATAAGTTTGTTTGTATGGCAGAAAAAAACCCATTCCTTTTCCTTGGAGGAAAGATATGATTCTCATTTCATTTAAGTTAATAGAAATGAAGTAATTTCAGTGGAGCTTGCCCTAAATTATACTAGCTTTCATAAAAGCAAGATCAAGGTTTGTATTTCACTTATCTATTCTCTGCTATAGAATTTTAACACTTTTAGTTTATTTTTTCTTTCTAAATTCTCCTGCATCTCCACCCCCAATCTTATAACTGCAGTAGACAGTTCTACTCCATTCCTATGAAATGTCACTGTGTTTACAAGTATAATATGATTTTTATTTTCCACTGAACAGTGCATTGTGTTAGTGACTTCTGAGTGGCTTTGTTCAGTTCATTTTTCTGCTCTTGGTACTATTTCTGCCTTTGACCTTGGAGGGTTTTTTCTCAAACGATAAGCAATGAGTTCTCATTCCTCTAGACCAAATTATGAAATGTGGCCAAAAAGTCTAAACTTTTTCGAAATGGTCATAAATCTTAGGTTAATTTGGAGTAGGAGAATAGCATCTTGCCACCCATTTGGTAATTTTTAGAAGTAGCAAAGCAGTTATTTTCCTGATTTCCCCCCATTTTGGAGGCTTAACCTGTATATCAAAATAAATCTCCATAGAGTAACTCAATATTAAACCATGTCTAAAATGTCATTTGTACATTGTGCAAAAAGCTTTTACAATACAGAACTGAAGCAAAGTTGGGGATTCATCCAAAAACATGACCTCTGTTCTGTGCCATGTTAGCCACTCTTAAAATGTTTCATATAAGTGCTGTTGGCACATATGTTCAAGTGCAATTAGTTGCAATTAGTAATGCAAATGGGTCTTTCTGTATATTTTCCTATATAAAACAAGTGAATTTTGGGTAAAGCTCCATAACTCACATTCTGAAAGCCTTTAAAGGGAAGCATACCCTGGTTTAGAAGATAGTTTCCTGGAATTGAAAGATATGATTTGGTTTTATATTGTTTGTTAGTGAACTGTGCACGGTGTGTATTTTGAACGTGAAGTCTCTATTGGAGGAATACAGGTTGTATTTTTATTCTAAGACCATTTGATAAAAATACAGCTTAAATATAGGAACCTCACATTACTGTTTTCTTAGATATTAATCTTAATAACAATCTGAAGTTACTTTTTTTTGTGACAGGTGGTGAAATTTACAAAATCCTTTGAGCTGTTATCTCCAAAATGCAGCGCTGATGCTGACAACAGGTTAGTGCTCACGTCTTCTGTGGTTATGGACTACTTTCTTTTTCGCAAAGTTTTAAATTTTTCTTCACCAAGCTTTTATTTGCTTATGGAACTTTGGGTAGATTTGATTGAAGAGTGTGAGCCTACAGTTTTTACTCAGACAAGACTCCTGCTTGCTTCAAATGGAGACTTGCTTGAATAAATAGATGTGCCTATATTTATATATATGTGCATATCTCAGGTAAGAAGCTAGGAAAAAAACTGACTTTTTATTGTTGAACTTGTGGATAACACACATATTGTTTTGCATGGTTAATACTGAATTAAAAATTACAGAATTATTTTAGATCTCTTACAAAATGCCTCTGTTCAGTGTGTTGAAAAGTTTCCAGTAAAATTTTATTTCTGCTCTTGTCAAATTGGAAAGCCTAGAAACCTCAGAGCATATATATTTCCTAGAAACTGTGTTCATGTGACTAAATCTCATTTGGGAGCCCAGTCAAAAATGGAAGTATACGTTTTACTTACTAGGATCTGTGTAAACATTTATAAAAGGCTAATTTTAAGTAGTAAGAGAGAAAGATTTTTCTTCATGTAGGGTTGATATATTAATTCCTATGAGATTATACCAATGGTAACAGTTCACATAAAATGCCCTACATACCTGGTGAGGGGAGGAAGATTGAGGGCTCTTGTGAGCTTTGTTCCATCTTTCAGGGCTCAGTGTTTATCATATTTTGCAAATATGATAATCATATAATGTAAAATATAATACATTTTATGCAAATTAATTCATACTGATTCTGAATGAGAATTCTCCATATCAAATGCTCGTCATAAACCTTCTCATGGATCGATCTTGCAGCATTAAAAAGATGGGTAGTGTTGTTTTTAAGATGTGCAAACTGACAGCAGAGTCCAGGGCCACATAAAAGATGGGTAGAGGCTAGATCTCTCTCATGTCCTGTCCACTACTTCAGATATGGGAATGGTGAGGCAAATCAAAAACAAGTGATAAGAAACAGGAAGATTGAAATATGAATAAATAATCTGTGATTCATCTGAGAATCACAAGTTGCTGCTTTTGAAAGAGTTTCAGAGTAGCAGTTGGTCTTTCCTAGGGGGTGAAAATACATTTCTTTTGTTCGGGGACAGGAGTATGAATCAAGGGATGTGGTTGTTATTCCTGTTTTTCTCAAACTTGATCTGTATCCAGATTAGTCAAAACAATGTAGAGTGGTGTCAAGATAACCAAGCTGGCTCGTTTCTTGTTACCATAGTTATATTAGCATGTTTCCACAAAGCAGTTTGTAGTAGCCTGCTCCACATGTAGTCAAGTCAAGATTATTTTAACTTTAGTCCAAGACACGAATAAACACATGAAACCTAGTAGCTAGTCTTTATAAGACTTATAAAGGTATATTTCTGTGTATCTTAATATAAAGATGTATTGCTTTTTCTTGGGTTTTTTTATCCATTGAACAGTGAAGTTGGTTTTACAATGACCAAGGTTAGACTGGTAGATATGACATCACATTTGGATCTACCACAGGCACAGCTTGAGTTACTGGCACTGTAGTGGGAAAATAAAGGTTATTTAGGATACAGAACAATGCCGTGAGCTCTTGACATTTGAGTATTTTTCTAGTGAGTTTTGCCCTTTTCATTCTATGTTCTGCAGCTGTAACTGAATATAGTCATGAGACTTTACATGTGGAAAAAAAAATGGCAAGATGAATTTCTTCATCATTACAGCAGTTAGGATAAATATTTTTCATTTGAAATTTTAATGGAAATTCAAAGAAACTGTAGTCTGAGAACAGTTCTAGTTATAAGTTTTACCTGAATGAGAGAGAAACTCTTAGGACAATACAACTTTGCATGCCCTAAAATACTTTCTCACAGAGTTGAAAAAGAAGTTGGCTTTTCTTTTGCATTTCTTACATGTGACTGATAGCAGCTCACCTGTTTAATCCCTAAACATTATAATAAATACTCAGAGCTTTTTTCTTTGCTGTTAGTTGTAAAGAAATACCTTGCAATACCACATTTGAATTTATCTGTTCGTTTTGCAATTTTCCATCATACCATAATCAAGTTTGTTTATTATGCACAATGGCACACTGATGCCTGTTTTTGACAGTGATTTTGTTCTTGAAGTACAGATTTGCCAAGTCTCCTAAATTTTCTCTCCCTTTGAAAAAATAATACATAAAACTTAAAAGTCTTGAGGTTTAAGTTCTGATATATTCTAGATGAAGATGAGCCTGATGGAATGTGCTGCAGGCTGTGTTTTCCCTGCACAGAAGCAGCCATTTTTGCAGATGGGATTACATTTTAGCAGGTAGCTGAAATTACAGTTCTCTAACCTGAGTCCCACTGGTAGTGGACACGTCATTTGCCTGGGCCAGAGTATGTGTTGTGTGGGCAAAAATATCTGTGCTCCTTCCCATTTGGGCTGGTACAGAGGAATTGCTGAAATCCCTCTACTGATATTTCACCACCACTGTCCCTGGAATGTTGTGCCTCTCTTCCAAAGTATAGGTGTAAAGCATTTGTTAGGAATGGAGACAATGTAATAAAACCTACTTTTAAAACTTTTTCAAGAATTTTAGCTTGTTTATTTGACTTGAATTCATTTACTGCTTAAAGTGCTTGACACCCATGAGGCAGTCCTGACTTATGTGTCTTATATTAATATAACGATAATACCATTCAGATTTTTAACTGAGAACTATGCATTTGAAATTAGATTCTTATACTTAAAGATTTTTTTCTTCTCATGTATTGATGTCCTGAAATAAACTTTGAATTATGAAGGTGACTCTTTTACTTAGCTCAAAACCCCTTATATTATATATATGTAAAAGCTCATGTCAAAGTATACACATAACATTTATTATAGTCACTCAAAATTCTTATCCCAAATGAAAGTTGATACACTTAGATTTGTGTAAATCATTATTATTACCTTTATTTATAGTCTTTTAAGAATATTAAGTTTTCTTTCAGATGAGTGACATAGTTGAATTAGTCTCCAGAGAATCAATGCAGTTGACAGTCAATCCTTTCACTTTGATTGAGTCTTTCAAGGATTTTACTGTGCATCCTTCTTTCGTTCATGAGCATTACTTCGAAGCTTCAAGCTACTGTACTCTTCTCCATAGCCTCTTCATTGCTTTTTTCTAAGTAATATTTCTCAGATGTTTAAAATCAATTAGTTATCTTCTCAAAACTAAGACAACATGCATTTGTTTATTCATACATGAATAGCTAGACCTTACAAATGTCAAAAACCTGCCTGCAATAGGTCAGTGAGACCTTTCCTGCTGATTGGATGGGGTATAGGGAGAGGACTTTGAGGTCTGTGTAGATACTGAGTTTTCTGGAGAAGCTGCAGTGGAGTGTGGTGAGTTGAGCCCATAATTCATGTCTTATGCTCATTTAGTGATAGCTCTCTAGACCCTCAGTAATTGTGGCAGAAGCTGAACCAAGTAAAAAAAAAAAAAAAAAAAAAGGAAACCTTCACGTGTTGTGTGACTGCTTGGATCCACCTGCTGCAACATACTTGAAGTATTGATTTTAAGACTAATTTCATGATCCCTTCTTCAGCCATTCAGGTCTGTCATTTCAGACCAAAATAAAAAAAAAAGAAAAAAAAAGGCATTTTGACAGGAAAATTATTAGAACTAAGAATTAAAAATACCCTGATATTATTTAGAACTGTTCTAAATATTATTTAGAGCTTTAGGTGGGCCTATATACCACAGAAACCTGGAACATAATCCGCACTGGATTCATAGGTAAATGCATATATTTATCATATATTTTACTTACTTGGGATGCTGATGCTATTTTCAATAGGAAGAGTTATGTAAAGAAGGGAATTTTTGAGGTACCATTTCAATAAATACCAAATTACTGTTCCACAGTTAATTCTTGGTAACTATTAAAAATTGTGAATGGTTCTGCCTTTCCTATGAATATGCATATAAGACATGCTGGACCTGCAAGTAACACTGATTATATTCTTCTTTTCCCTTGCTCTGCATTTTGATAGTTTCAAAGACAGTGTGGAAAAATCATCTTATTCTGACTGGCTAATAAATAATAGCATTGCTGAACTCGTCGCTTCCACAGGTCTCCCAGTGAATATCAGTGATGCCTATCAGGATCCTCGCTTTGATGCTGAAGTAAGAGATTTTTAGAAATGTAAATATATGTTATCTTTTTGGCATTGCAACTAATATAAAAATTTTGTCAGTATATCCAAGTAACTCTAAAACATGTGAATATTTATTTTGAATTTTTTTTCTAACCAGTATGTGCTCCTGATGGTCTTTCTGGTATTGACATGGCTTTACAGAGTAGACACAGATCACTGAATTATTGTATGACTTTAGGCAGTTACTTTGTCCATCATTCTTTTTATTCCTATTTATAAGTGATAACTTCATCTATCATGTGCTTTGATATTTATGCAAACTGAGTTTATTGATGTTCAGTGTAGCACCACCATCAGTGTTAGCTGTTGGGGTCACAGGGGCTGTACACACACAGGTTGTAAATAGAACTGATATCAAGGCAGAAATGTTGTTTGTGATTTAACTTAGCCAATTAACCTTTTAATTTGCTCAAATACACATTGGATTAGTTATTTCTTTGAGATACATATCGCTTTCAATAAGAGTTGTTTGTGTATCTTAAGGTATCTTATTGTGTTGTTTGTGTGTTTTATTCATTTCAGCCTCAGTTAGAAAGCTGTAGCTGCAGATAAAAGTCTATGTGTATACTTAACATCTAAATAAATATTAGAGGCATATAGAAGGACAAAATCTTCACTGAATTCTGTCCAGTGAAACAGTATTACTATAGAGGATTTAGCCAGCAGTTGAGCAGCACATTAATCAGTGGACAGCCTTGGTCAGAAAGCTTCCCAAACTATATTACTACAATAAGAGTGCTTGGAAGTGTTTCATGTTGAGAGTTGGCTTGGTTCGAGTTTTATTCCATGCATCATTAAAGGGATTATCTCTCAAACCCACAGAGTTTTTTGAAATAAGAAAAATAAAAGGGGCCTGCTGTAAAAAACTACAAGAAAGCTATGTTGATGCTAATACGTTCAGAATTTCTAAAAATACAATTAATGCCTGGGGTTTTTAGACACGCTAGCATAAAGCATGCCAATCCTTGATGTTTGCAGTTGTACTTTTATTATATCATGTCCTGAATAATTCAGCTGTCTCTTATTTGTTTCACAGTCCTTTCCAAGCTAGAGACACTGCCCAATTTATGTAGAGAAAAAGAAAACAATACAAAGGGCAACAATTATTTTCTTTTGATGGGTTCCTGTGAAAATTTAATTCTTAAAGTCAGGTTTTGCATTCAATTATTTCTATAGTCAAGTGTAGTAGAAGGAAAATAGTATCCCTTATGACTTAGGTGGAATCATACATACAAACATTTGTAGTTATGAACAGATATTCTGTTCTCTGCTTCTGTTGAAAACACTATTTTTTTTCAGAACACTAATTGTCATTTTCAAATGTTTATGCTCAACTTTCAACTCATTCACCAAGAACTTAATGCCAAAGTATTTTTGAGTTCATTTTAAGGCATATATCTGTAACAATTGTTCCCCTGCTTCTATGGATTTTAGGTGTCACTGATTTCAGTGATGAGTTCTGAGTATGTATAATAAGCAGAAATCCTGTTAAAACCTGAGTTATATCTTTTGCTAGTTAGGAGATCACAGTGATCCCCTCATGCTTCCAGTATATGAATTATTGCTGGTCTTTTACTTTCCTTTTATTACAGATTGCCTGTAGCACTGGCAGTTTTAGTAAGAGAACATCTCCTGATCTTCTGCAGGAGGGCTCATGTCATTCTTACTCTAATCTTGTAAAAAATATTTTCGATTCATCGGATTTTGCAGCAGTGACACTATGGAATAAAGCTTATTAACTGTAGAAGAGAGGGAATCAGTGACACTTATGATAAATTGTGAAGTTGTATACTGTATTAGATAGAAAACAATAAATGAGGCAGTAAATTGTCATCAGAACAAAAGGAGCAGTTATCTCAAATATTGGTTTTTACACCATCCTTCCATTTCTTACTAACTTACACTTCTGCACAATTCCCCGCCTACTCTTGAAAATGCATATTTCCTGTGAGCCTCCTTTTACAGCTGCGTTGCTAAGTCCAATTTCAGTTTGACACTTGGGAACAGTATTTCTAAGGCACACTTGTTCAGTGGAAGTTGTCTCCATTAAACCACCAGTGTAAGTAATCCAGGATTTGTCTGGATATTGCCTCAATTGCAATTTGTCTTTAGTGCCAAATCACACTCAAATAGTGTAAGCTTTGTGTGCCAAAGATGCCAATGTTTAGATTTTCTTTGGCAATTTTTAGAATAACCCTTATGACCTTTTGTTACTGTGAATGAGGTTTCAGCAGAATTTTTTCTGAGTGAGAGCCAGTCCATACAGAATGACATTTTTAAACATATACTTACTCCTTGACATTTCTATTACTATAATTTAAAAGGCTGCAAATGGTACCTACCACTAATGGAAGCTCTCATTTCTACATTTCAGGCTGACCAAATTTCTGGCTTTCATATAAGATCTGTTCTGTGTGTTCCTATATGGAACAGCACCCACCAAATAATTGGTAAGACCTTCCTCACAGATGCATAACTTTTGTGCTAATGTAAATTTAGTTCTGTCTTTTTAATTCTGTGTTCCTTCTCTTCTTTTTCACGGCTGAATTTTGTTAAGTTATGGTATCTAGGATGCATGCTAAGTGTACATCCAAGAAGGGATGTTTTGTCTTGGATACTGCATGGACTTTTTCAGCTTTCCAGTTGTGTCACTGTTAAGTTATATATTGAACTGAAACATTAGAACTAATGCGATGAAAACAAAAGTTCTAACAATCCTAGTAAAAAATGTTTGATGTCTTTCTTGGGCCTCCCTCTTTAGTACACAACTCAGGCAACTGTTTCTGCATCAAGAAAATGGTCATTTCCCTCTAATGATATACAGGGAAGACCTACTGGAGGGGCTGTGGCAGCTGTCAGAGTTGCCTGTTGCAGTGGTGTTTGCTGGATCAGGATATGACAGGGTTTTATTGGATGTTTGGTAGGAGGCTTCCCAGCTATGCTACACCTGCAGTTGGCCCTGTGTTATTGCCTACTTTTGGCACAAAAAAAAGGTGCTGTTTGTAAATAACAATGCCAGATTCCTCTGCTAACTTTCCACAGTAGAACTGACGTCAAAGCCATAGCAATTTAAATTATCAGGGCAAGAGTGAGATCCCTGTGTTGTGGCTGTCAGTAGTGCGTCGGTGAAGGCACTGGATATCATGCAGGATATTTGAGCTTCTTTAGTAGAGATGATGTGGGGATTGAGTCTTAAAAATACAGCTTGTTGCTGCTGTGAAGTGTGCATTATCTTAAAGAAGTAGAAAGAATCTGATTCCTTGACTGCTGACGACTCTTAAAGGACTTTTCTACGGGCATGTTGTAGCTAAATGAAATAGAAATGGTTTGTTGCAGTAGAAATCAGTATTACTTCAGATACAGACAAGAGCTTTGAACACTTTTTCAAGTGGTTTAAGGAAAATGCATTTTTTTCATTGGTCCAGTTAATTAATAGATCAGTCATGAGTAAAAAAGGACTTATATACCCAGGTGATGCTGAACAATCAAGATTTTAAGAATGAAGGTACTAATTCAGCACATTCTATTGCTAACTCCAAATTGCTAGGACAACTTACGTGATTGTTGTTAGCAAAGTGCTCAAGTTCTTAAGCAGATCTTTGACCTTTTGTGAAAAGCACTGTGAGTGACTTATAGATTTGCAGTATTATAACATAGGGAGTAAAGAATAACAATTGAAAGTAAACTGAGTACTGGTATCAGTACAATCGGACTTTTGCACGTTTATGTCTGTTTAATGATTTTCAGAAGAAATATTTGCAATTTTGCTTTTCAGTTTGAAATATGTATTTTACTTTTTACCAATGAATAAAACACTCTGAGAATTAATTCATATTAACTCTTTCTAAAGGGGTAGCTCAAGTGTTGAACAGGCTCGATGGGAAATCCTTTGACGATGCTGACCAGCGACTGTTTGAAGTAAGAGGCATTTAGTTTTTTAGCATTAGCATACTTTTCAGCAGGATTTGGTATTTCTGAGTAATGCTAGGGAGGGGGGAAAGAATATGTTTTCTATATTTGCAGTTTGATATTAATTCTCAGAACTCCTCACTTAATAAGGTTGTATCCTAATTAAAACAAGTTTTTGGCATCTGATCTCTCTTATCTGGAGGCCAGTCACTTACCTGCATTCTTAAGATAACCTGTCTAAGCATGATTATTCCTAATATTTCCACGCAATTTCTTTTAATAATTAAGCCAGCAGTCATCTTTGTGTTTGTATTATAACTGATTTATAATTTACTTTCTTTTCTTTTTTCTCTTTTTTAATTTTAGGCTTTTGTTATTTTTTGTGGCCTGGGTATCAACAACACAATTATGTATGACCAAGTGAAGAAATCCTGGGCGAAACAGTCTGTGGCTCTTGACGTACGTGTACATCTTCATGACACCTGTTCTTACTCCTAAGTATCACATGTAAAGGAGCCTACTGCTTCTGAACTTATTCAGTTATTTATTTATATATTTATTCAGTAGGTAGAATAATTTTGTGTATCTACCTCCCTGCACTTTGGGTTGTCTTATTAAGGTAATGCTGAAAGGAAACTTTCTCAAGGTACACTTAGCTGTAGAGCGCATGCATAGCTTCAGTAATTTTGAACCCGGATATCTCATTGGATGCCTGTGCTTTTTACATTAGAGGGTGCAACAGTGGTGGTGGGGAATCTAATTTCTTAGAGATATAAGTGTAGGAATTAATCTATGTGTTATATGTATTTCCTTGTCAGTAGGATTTTTAGTATCAAAAGTAACATCTGCTGATCCCTTATCAGATGTATGTCTTGCTAGAACAGAGTCAAAGCAGGATGGGTGACTGCTCAGTAAGAGCTCTGCTGTGGGCCAAGGCCAATACATAATGCAAGGTCCTGGCATTCCAACACATTATGTCTTTCTGTAAAATACTCATAGAGGAGCTAAATGGATGGAAAGCTTTCTATTTTTTTCCTTATTGCTCTTCCTGTTTCAGCTCCCCCCCAGTTAATGATACCTACCAGCTCCTGTGAAGTAAATTCTAAAATGCAGAACATTTAAAAAAAACCCATGATTATTTCAACTTCTAGAAGCAGATTCAACAATACAGCACTATTCTCTGTCATGTGTCTGGAGATTTTAATTGTAATCATATTAATAATAATATTGGCAAGAACAAAGCTTGGAGTTTTGAGGATAGCTTTACAAATTTGCATTACTTCTACTAAAATAATAATTAAGAACAGCTTGAATTAAATTTCATATCTTTTAAAAAGCATCAGGCAAGACCAATTAATCTTAAAATATTCCCTCATGAAAGGGTAACTTTACTAAGATTTCAGTATCATTTAAAATTCCACATGTGCTAAGTGAAGAAAATCATCTGGTGACTCTTGGGGATGATCCTGAGCAGGCTTAAAAACTGGACTCAGCATATTCTGTAATCCCTCATGTGTGCACCCCTTAACTGCATACCTCCTTTGAATTTATACAGTACCCACCATTACAATAAGAACCACAAAAATAGATTTGAGTATTTCTCCAGTAAAACAAAAACTAAACTGGATTGATATGAAGAGTCTTTTTTTCCCTCTGCTTTAGGGTTGGAAATATTAATCTGTGTATGTAAGTTCTATCATGTGGTCGACACAGGCATATTAAGACTTTTTGAAGTCAGTAAGACTGTTTGTGTTAGAAAACTTTATAAGCATAAGTGGCTTTATTTATTATTCCTCTATATGTATTCATTTAGGAGGAAAAGAGACCTTGTCAGGCCTCCTGCAAGATCCCTTATTCTTTAAATTATATAGTCATGAATTAGTATAAGCCTTCTTATGTCCCAGATATTTGTGCAATATGACACCTTAGAATGAATACTCCTCCTGGCAAGAAAAACAAGCAGTGCCAGATATCACACTCAGATACATAGGGATGAAAGTTGACGTAGACACTTGTTATTTGCTACTGAAAGAAAAGAAAATTAAATTTTTTTCAGTTTAAAATACAGCTTCTTTCTTAGATCTAAAAAAGACTAGTAACCATATAGCTTGCATGGAGAGTAGAGGTTTGATAAATGGCCACTATTCCTTAATAAAGAATAATTCTTTCTATAAATGAGCAACAGTGCTTGATAATATTTGTATAGAGTGATGGAAGAGACCAGAAAAATGTTTAACAGTAGAATGGTATGAGCTGAAGGACTGTGAATCAATTTTTCTGTAATAGAATCCTTTAGTATTTATGTATTTAGCAAGAATGGCAATGAATGGCACTTGAAAATGACATTGATATCAGATGTAAAATAAATCAATTTGATATATACCATAATAAGATTGTTATCCAGATATACTGATACAGGGTTTTATATAGTATTCTCATAAGACTGACTAATAAATAGAAGACCAAAACTTAAATAAATGATGGGGACAGTTTACAGGAGTATACCATATAATTCAAAACCAGGCTAAATGGTTTTTTTGTATTAAGGATACAAAATTCGCAAATGATTAGAAGATTAGAATAATAAATATTAAGGAAGACTGTAAAAATCTAGAGGGATATAATGAATGCAGATAAAGGAGAAACTTGACGAGAATTTTGGTATTAAGTGTAATCTGTCATAGCAGAAGACATAATTTTACTAATTTTAACAATTTCTGTGCATAGTTACAATACAATTGGAGAGAAAAATAGATACTACTTGAGAAAGGACATGATGTGTAGTTATAGAAAGTAAAATGTGGGACAGAAAAAATGAATTGGTGTTTGTTATTTATTCTTTTATAGTGCAGGAATGAATTCCTGTTACTGTAAAAGGTGACATCTCTAAAACTGATAAGAGTAACTACATCTTGGGACTTATTGCCACAAGGTATTGTAAGTCAAGGGCCTTTGACATTCATAGATGAAAATTATTTCAAAATGAGAAGCATACATCAAAGCTTTGGCACATAAAGCAGATTGGGTGTTGCTGTGTGGTGAGGAGGACCTGTCCTGGCCAGGAGTGCTCTGGCTCTGTGAGGTCCCCCATGGACCAGGACCTTGTCCCATGCATAGTCAGTACTGGTGAGTCCAGTACACAGACTGGCTCTTCCACCTTCTGGAGTGCTTGTTCAATGTTAGTGTTGTCACGTAAGATAGAAAGTATTCCATATAAATGGATGAATACTAATAGGTAATGAGAGGAGGTTTGCAGTACTTTGTGCATTTTGTTTGATGCTGTCATCTCCAGAAGGGTATTGAAAAGAATGTCAGCTGTAGCACAGAGGTGCAGTGATGTGCACAGGCATTACAGCAAAAGTCATTTTTTAAGTTCTGTAAGTCTACTGTGATTTTTACATTAAATTCTTTTTATTTTGATTGTAGAACTCCAGGAGAACAATGTAGGAATCCTTGTAATATTAAATTACTTATTGTCCATGATTCTCTATAAAATTCCCTGCAACATAAATGCCAAATGCATGCCTGATAACCTGCAATTAGCTATTATGTGCTGCCATTCAGAACTGAATTACTACGTACAAATATTAATTAAATTTGCTTTAAACATAATTGATTAGACTGTAGTACAGAGCCCTGATAGTTCTATTTGTCAAGTGTACAAAACTGCTTTTTCTCTTTTCTTCTGGGGCAGGTGTTGTCTTACCATGCAACATGTTCGAAGGCAGAAGTTGATAAATTTAAGGTAAGATTTGAGTTTTTAGTTATTTCTGAAAATATAAAAATAAATTAAAATGGGCGTGGATTATCTGAGAGAAAATTTTTACATCAAAAGCAGAAAATCTTAATTAACAATGATTTATAAAGGATGTATCACATGTTAGGCTGCTGAGGAGGAAAGGTGGAAAAAAAAATATCTTTCAAAGGATAAAGACCTGCAGTGGTGGGTGCACAGTGGCCCACCAAAGTTCCATTGAACTGGTTGAACTGCTGCTGGAACTGCATGTCAATGTAGTTTGGTGGCCTCCTCAGCATGGACCACCATAGGGAAGTCATACCATGTAGGAGATGAGGAAGAGACTAGAGAAAATAAGAGGGACTTGAGACTTTATGTGCTTATAGTGTGGAAGCCGTTCTGTGTTTACTGAAAAAGCAGAGCATTGACTGTCAAGATTGTGTGTAGGCTGACAAGGCTGGGTGGAAAGGTGAGGAATCCCTTAACTTCTGTAAGCGCCCTGGGCAGAATGTTAAAGTGATGTGTTCCGAATGTAGCATTGCTAGGGACCAATAATTACATGTTCTCTCTGCATCCTGCCTTGCCACGGGATAGAAAGTAGGGGGAGCAGCGATCTTGCTCTTCCATCGCTGGCAGCACTGCAGAGTTGCTTTTGTGATAGACTTAGTTGGTCTTTTTCTGCTTGAGGAAACACGTGGGGTTGACACTTCCCTTGGCTGTGAGGAGGCGATGTTGTAGAGAGCTCCTACTGTTTGGGAGGCTCTTGTGGAGTGTATCAGTGTTGGTTTCCTGTACATAAAGTGCATCAGAGACTGTAGCGAGGTCTGGGCAGGAGATCTGGACTATTGTGACCCCGCAGTGCTGGCATTCCCTGCTCTAGCACCCTGGCACCTGTCTGACTGAAAAATAGCTGTTGGGTCGTTATTTTCACACTTGGCTGTCAGGCTGGAACCTGCTCTCTGCACCACGGGGATGACTGTGGTGGAAGGGGGAAGACATGGGTGTCTTCACAGAGCTGATACTGATGAGTTACCTGGGCTGAGGAAAGGCAGCTCTTGCTAGTTAATTAGTTTGTAAATTATTACCCAAATGATGGCTGTGCCTTAAGACTATATCGACACCTGGTGATAAGAGTGTAATATTCTCCCTCCATTGTAGTTACTGGTGCAGTTACCCATGCTTTTGTAAGCTGAAAATTAGATTACTGAATTATTACTGGAACCCAACACTGCAGCCAGGGGAAAATACTTTTGTGTGCATAATAAGTTGTATTCTGTGTTTGGCAAAAAGAACACTGAACACTGTTCAGAGAGAGAGGAAAGAAAGGGATAGAGGACCATTCAGTTTTTTTATTTTGTTTTGTATTTTCATTTACCTTAGAATAAGCACCTGTAATATAGTTTCTATGACTGTCAGGATTCCACCAGTATCTTTGTACACACCAGAACGCCGTCCTTCTTGATTGCTGTCAGCCATTGAAAGACATTCTTCATGGTCTATGTAGTTGAAATAACAGCCTGCTATATTACTCTACGGACTTAGATGCTAGTGTGATGAAAAGCTATTCTACTTGTTTTCCCAGGTGACTTCATTAATAGATATGCCAGTCTCCAACTAAGAAATGTCTTGTCATTATCCATTTACCTTGAAGGCGTGCAACTATCCATTTAATGGTAATGATAAGGTAAAAGGAAGTGAAAAGCATTCATTCATTAATAACTCCAAAAGATACAATTTTTAATAAAGAACATAGATGAGAAAATAAGGAATATAACCAAGCTATCCTTAAACTAAGCTAAGCCATTTTTTCAGAAAAATTTTTCCTTTCCTGTATCGTTGTCTCAGTTTCAGCTCCTGACAAAATGAGACCCAGGTAGTCTTTGTTAATGCTTCACACCACTGGATCTAAACAAACAAAAAGAACAAAAACCCAGAGATGACCAGCACGTCTTGTGGGCCTGTGACAAGCTCATCCCCAGAGAGGGCCATCCATCTGTGGGATGAAATTACTCCCATCTCCCCACTTGCAGAGCTCTGGCAGCCGGTCTCCCTGCTGAGATCTCCTGAGGCATCCTACCCTGAAATCATTGCTCTTTTCTCTATTTGTTACATTGTTATATTTTATATAAGCCCTTTGTTATATTAGGGTCATCTTCTAGACTTGACTGGCTAATAAACCATCCCTCCCTCTGGGGGTGTTTGGGGCTAAAACTGTCCCCTCTCTCCTTGGTGATTTATTGGCAGATGTCAGAGGAAATGTCTGTTAAGATTTACCTGATGTTCTGGTTCAGGCAGAGCAGTAACATATACACGATAGAAACATCTAAATGAGAGTGATGCCAGTAGTTCACTATTGGCTCCTGACTGACATGAGACCCAACAGTAATTAATGACTTTGGAGTGACAATACATTTGAGTTGACAACTTTTCAGCATCTTGCCCCACACATACTGTAACTGGACCCCAGCAGCTTGGAAGTAATTACATATTCCTGTAGTACAAGTTGTTTATTTTCCTCTTTGTAATCTTATTTTTAATGGTCTTAATAAAATGCTTTTCCATTAATATTTTAATATTTGATAGAAATTTTAATATTTGATAGAAACTGAAAAATTGCAAATTTACTTTATTTTTCCTCTGTCCAGGAGAATTATTACCAGTAAATTATTTTATTGCATTATAGAAAGCCTAGCAAGACTAGTTAAAGTTGATTTTTTTACTTGAAATTCTTTCAGTAATCTCTTGTTAGTGGATGGATTCACAAATATACAAATTCACAAATATATCTTTTTAAGAATTAAACATAATCACTGTGACCAGGTTCTGTAAACTAAATAACATTTATTTCTGTTTCTTGTAATTCCATCTAAGAATTAATGAAAAACAAACAAACAAACAAAACAAACAAAAAACCAAAAACAAACAAAAAGAAAACAATAAGAAACCCTTACCAAAAAAATACCTTTCTCCAGATGCTTGGCTGGAAACAAAGCACTATTAGTTGTGGAGCTGGAAAATACACAGGGAAGTTCACAGTATGGAACAATGAAACATGAATGTATGAAAATGAGCCATGTCATGCAATTGGCCAATGCTATATCTGATTTCCACAATTGTCTAAAAACAAAGCAGCAATGTAGATTCACGCAGAACATTGAACTGATTTTGCACATTTTTGAAGGGATTCCATTTCTGATGTTTCTAAAATATCGCTTTCATAATAAAAATCTGAAAGCCAAGTTTAAAAATGCTTATATGACTAGAAATTGTTCTATTAATGAATTGATGGAGGTTTTTTCTCAAAAGAGAACCCAGTTTTGTGAATCATTGCTGTAAAAATCTGTGTCACCAATCCTTTTCATTATCTGGGGATTCATTAGCGCTGGGGATTGCAGGCACACACTTCTCTGGAGGGCATTGGGAGCAGGACCAGTGTGAGCTCAGACACAGTGAGGGCAAGTGCTGCTCTGCTGACCTGGGTGGGGCCACTCAGTCTGCTTCCCACGCCCAGGGCGAGTGGGAATGGAAAATTCAAGGCCTTAACCCAGTGTGAGCTTGTTTTAGTGATAAGAGGGGGCTTAGCTCTCCGGGTAGATGCAAGACTGCAAAGACCTGGATTCAAAGCCTGAGCAAATCCTTGAGTCTCTGTAGGTGATAATCTGGCCCCAGGGGAGGTAATGGGAGGTTTGCCACTGATTTCAGCAGGATGCTTTGTTTGGCATTTGTAAAACTGCATAGTAATGTTTCCTCTGCCACCTTGCCTCTATTTATTCTTGGTAGCCAGTCTTTTGCAATGTGTTTTCTGACAGAACATCATCTCTGAAAAAAAAAAAAAGGTAAAATTTTAAGATCTAGTCCTCTTTTAATGCTACTTTAAAATGCAGTCTAAGTGAAAACTTGAGTTGTTTTCAACACTGTTTCAGTAGAAAATGGGTTGTTTTTCCTGAAGATGTGTAGGTTTTTAAAATGGGGGAAAACATGGAAGCTAAATGATAGAGTTTCAATAACAGGCAGTTGAATCTGAATTAATGATTAATCAGAATTACTTTTCTGGTATCTATGGTTATTCTCGTATTTAGAATATGCACTTTACTTCCAGGTTCTAAGAAAGAGGGTGAGACTTCTGTGAATGTTTTGTGGGATTAAAACAAGAGCAGTGAAAACATAAAATTTGTAGCAAGTATTGTACATAGACTATCTGTTGCCAGATTATTTTACATTTCTTTGCTTCTAAAGATTTTTCAACTTTCATCTTTTACTTTTGAATTTGGATTATTATGACTTCAAAAAAATTATTTAAATACAATATTCTGTTAAGTTCATACAAACTGCATAATATTTTTTAGGTTTTCTGATAAGTGCTGCATTACTGTGATAGGGAGATTTCTGATGCTACTCCTCCAGATACAGGAAAAAAAAAAACTTTACTTTCCATGGGCAGATGCAAGTAAAACAAAAAAATCCACCTTGAGTGCAAACTTTTCTTGTATATCTGAGAATGTGTGAAGTCTTCATCCTGATTTGTCACAATGCTTTTCCTCATTTGAATCTATACAACTATGCTAAATTTTGGCAGAATAAGCTAAAGTAATGCACCAATGAATCATAGCTGTATCAATAGTATTCTTATTCAAAATAAGAATTGAAAAAATTCTTATTTTTCAAGAAGTTAGAAATAGGTATGATTTTAAAAACTCTGGCAACTCAGTTCTCCCTTGTATTTTAGCCTTAAAAGACCATTCTGTTATTTCTGTTGTGTACTACACTTAGTGCTTTGCTATAAGCAGTTGTATGATTGGAATAGAAAAATTAAGACTAGGGAAGTCTGATTAATCTAAGATTGATGCTATCCTGTGACATTGTCCTGTAGTACCAGGTTTCTTCTTCCTGAAATTCAGGCTTTCCAAGCCTAAATATAGTTGTGTGAATGTAGAAAGCCAAGATACATGAGTAAAGAATGCAGAATTATGTCCAGGACAGGATATTTATAGCAAGAGTTACTGACTTCT